CAGCGAGTATTATACAGTCGATGGCCTCAGTCAACATTATGCTTCTCAAGTATTATTATTATTATTATTATCATTATACATGTGCCACTTGTATATTTATGATTTTTAGGCGCGTGAAGATTTCGAAAACGAGTTTGCAACTGGAGGCGGCTTTCCGAGGTTCAGCACCCCTAAAACATAGACACACACATGCATATATCGCACTATGTATTTAAGTTAAGTTAAGTCCATTCGTCTATGAGCTGATGAGAAACCCGTTTAGGGTCGAAATACGCGACAGAATCTTAAATACTTAGCACATCGCACAAGTTCGTAGTCCAAAAGTTTTGGCCAGTCATCGCCGAGCTGATGTGAGCCCACAGACTGAAACTAACTGGACTATACACACGTCTAGGCAGATTTTAGATACGTTTCGATTGATCATTAATCACGCATAGCTGCGGAAACGATCCAACCATCCAACCAACTTGGGAGAGTCTCTAATGCAGCTGTTGCTGTTCCCGTTGCGGGCTTCGAGCTTGTCCTTGAGCCAGAGCAACTTCGAGCATGTGAAGTCTGAAGCAGCGGCCTCTGGCATGGGGTAGAGCCAGAGACGAATGCCGGTAGGGGCAGCCGATGGGGTTGAGGCAGCGGCAGGGGCTGCAGGGGTAGGGGTAGGGCAGGGACTGAGTTTGCGCTGCTGTGGCATTTGTGTTGCCATGCGAGAAATTGGCATTTGTTGTTGTTGCTGTTGCTGATGTTGCTGATGTTTTCTTCATTTCGTTTTTGCTCAATTTTCGCGTCGCCTTTTGGCTGGCTCTTCCCTTAATGATCTCTTTTGTTGGTTTCGGTTTGCAGCCGCTGTTGCTGTAATTCGAGCGTCTGCGTCATTGCCTTTATCTGTCTCGCTCATGCGGAGAGTGGGACTTCGCCAATCCCCTCAACTCTCCTCCCCTCTCTCTCGCACTCTTTACGTCTTGATGGGATTCATTCAACTTTGGTCACGCACACACTCACGCGTGTATCTGTGTGAACTTATGAATGATGCCAATGATCATTATCGTTCGCGTCATGATCATGTTTGTTGTTGCTGATGCCGCTGTTGCTGTTGCTGCTGTGTGCTTTTGTTGCCACAAATAGCAACACGCGCCGTTTGCATTGCGATGCATTTCCGTTTTGGCAACGCTGCCAAAGCTGCAGACGTGCCGCCAAATGGGCTAAAATGCTGCAAAAAAAAAAAAAAGAAACGTCAAGAATCAGGGATGCCAAAGCACACATTATGTGTGTGTGAGCGAGTGAGTGTATCTGTGTGTGTGCGTGTGCATATCTGTATCTGAGGCAATTCAACGAACTCGCGTTGATATCATATTAAAAGTTATGACACATGTGAGTGGCTGATTTTGCATTAATTTCATATGCGAAATCTTTGCGATAACTTGCTTGAGAAAGCGCAAGAAAGAGACAACAGGGCGAAAGAGAGAGTGAAAAGGCAATTGATTGAGAGTCTAATGAATATATCACAAGCCTCGAGCGTTGCCATCAAAATATATTGGAATGCGCATGCAAATATGTATATATGTATATGTACACATACGTATATACATACTACACATACGTATATATAGTAAAGTATTTTTAGTTAATCTATATAAATAGTTTTATTACTTACACAAACCTGACAGCAACAACAACATTGGAGTGAGCAATATTATTATCATTGCCTAACGGGGATTTTTTGTTCTTCAAAGTTCTTGATATTGGGAATTCGTCATATAACTAATTCATGATAATTGCTATTAAAACAGTTAGTTCTGTTTAGCTAATCAAACAAATTGTATACAACAGAGTGAGAGAATGAGAGGGAGAGAAAAAGAGACAGGTATAGAGGAGAGAGAAAACTAGGTGAATGACAGAATGAATCAATAATAAAATACAATGAGAAAGTGTGGGAGAAAGAAAGCAGCAGAGACATAGAGAAAGAGAGAGATGCAGAGTGAGAGAAAAAGAGATGCAGAGAGAGAGAAAGAAAGATGCAGAGAGAGAGAGAGAGAGAGAGAGAGAGAGAGAGAGAGAAAGAAAGCGAGAAAGGCGAGATAAAGAGAGAAAGAGACAGTAAATGAGCTCGAGAGACAGAGAAAAAGAGATTGTGAAAAAGAGAGTGGAAGAGATTGGAATGGAGAGAAAGAGAGGAAGATTTTTGAAGTATGGAAACAGACAGAATGAGAATAAGACAGATAGTAGGAAATAAAGAGATTTAAAGAGAATGAGAAAAATTAGAGACAATGAGAGAAAGAAAAAAAGAAAGAGTGAAAGAACATGAAAATGGAGGGACTGAGAGGAAGATGAGAGACAGAGTAAAAGGGAATAGGACTCAGGCTGAAGAGCACAGAGGGAATGAAAGTGAAAATGAAGTGAAAGCTTAAGAGACAGAAAAAAGGTATGAGAGACTTAGAGATACAGAGCAAGAGAGTGATGCAGAGAGTGAGAGAGAGAGATGCAGAGAGAGAGAAAGATATGCATAGAAAGATAGAGAAGTCTTCAGCATCAGCAAAAGAGGAGCAGAGTGAATGAGATAAAATTATATTCTAAGCTAACATAAGCTATGCATCAAATGATAGCACATACACCAAGCCGCACTCACACACACACTTGCAAAGATCGAAAAGCTGGTTCAAGTTCAGCTCAGTTCAGTTTGTTCAGCTTTGATTCATTCCTCATTTGAAGTTTCTAGCTCAGAGCAGAGTATTACGTGTGCTGTGTACTCAGCTTGTGGCACTTTTGTGTAGTTCTCGTTGTTGCTCTTCTTCTGCTTCTTCTTGCTGAGTTTACCGACTACGCAATTCCATTCAGGCGCGCTGCTAACCGATCCGATCAGTTCGTATCGTTTCGTTCGACGTCGTCGGTCGGCAACGTCTTTTCTTTCATAAATCAAAGCGCATAACTGCCGGCCGGGGCCTGGGGGCGGTGGCGCTATAAAAAATGGAGAGCGGCAACCTGAGCTAGTCGCCAGCGGGCAGGGGCAGGGCGGGACGGTGCGGCGTGGGGCGGCGGGTAGAGCGGGCAGAGCGGGACGCAAGGTGTTTGGGGTGCTTTTGTTTTGAATTTGAATTTTTTGGCAAAAATTACGCTACAATTTCAAGTATCTTTCACTGTATTGGCGCAACGGATGACGGGGTAGGCGTGGTGGGTGGGTTATAGCCACACACACACACACACACACACACACACATACAGGTATGTAGTCACATGGAGCGGCGCTAGGCACGAGCTGGTACCTGTTTATTGTAGTCGCTTTTGACTCTGCCTTTTTCTTGTATTTATTTTAATTTTTAATTTTCGGCATTTTTTTTTTTTATACCCTGAACCCATTTTCAATGGGAAATCAGGGTATAATGGTTTTGTTGAAATGTATGTAACAGGGAGAAGGAGGCGTGGCAGACCCCACAAAGTATATATATTCTTGATCAGGGTGACGAGCTGAGTTGATTTGGCCCTGTCCGTCTGTCTGTCCGTCTGTCCGTCTGTCCGTCTGTCCGT